GACATGTTCGTACGAACCCTTTGTACGAACAAAAGTAAGAGAAATTTAGGAGAAGAATACGAACGGTTCTTTCATGAGGCCCAGTGAGTGTAAACATGAACAGAGGCGCTGACCTCGCCCATGGTTGGATCATCAGCCTTGTAGGCGTCCAGTTTGTCCTGAACCAGCTGGGCCAGAGTGGCGTTGTCCTTATACTCCCTAAAACACAGAGAGACAGAAAATACCAGAAAAAAACTGATTTTTTAAATATCTCTATAAAAAGATGTTATTAATTTAAAAACTCCACATTTTGCTTGAAAGGAATAGAGTAAAGGTACGGCTACGTGGCGCCTCACCCTCGRTATCTGACGGCGGGGTATTCCTTCAGGGTGGCGCAGAGCGTGGCCAGCTGCTCCGCCAGCCTCTCCATCACCGGGTTCTTCAGCTGGGTCTTATGTGGGCTGTAGAAACTGTGGAAGGCGTCTGGGTTGTCCAGAGAGTACACCTGCACAGGTGATGATGAGTTAACCTCACTGAGCTTCATGTTCCTCATTTATTTTACTCTAAAGGTTTAGAACAGCTCATCTAGTCTTTCCCCTTCACTTCTCCTAACATCCCATCTGCTACAGTCACATGACCCGTACCGCAGATGGGTACAGACTGGCGGTCGGATCATCCAATGGGACGAGAGCGATCGGCACAAGGAGGGGCGGGGCAACGAAGCAGTGTTTTAGGCCTGGAGCAGAAAACCCACTGAACAAGCATTAATCATAGCTGACAGGRGAGAGGCGAAGCTTTGTGGGCCGAGCAGCGTCTTCTAATACGTCGAGTGAGGAGAAGAAATGGGCAGAGTGGGATGAGAGGGGGAGGACGGAGGAAAAATAAAAAGCTGGGAGCTGAGGAAGACATGGAGAGGCAGGGATGGTGGAGAGGAGAGAAGAGGAGAGGAGAGGAGAGGAGAGGAGCGCCATCGGCCGGGTAGTGACAAAGTGAGTGGTTCTGGAAGAGTCTGGCTGTAAAGTGAGGGTCTGAGTCAGCAGCAACCTGCCCACCTGAGAGCGTGATTGTTTGTCCCTCTGTCCTCATCATCTGTTTTTACAGTAAAATAAAACGCTGTGTCATGCTAACAATGTTACCTGTTAGCCTCAACACTGGAGTGTAAAAATGTCCAGAGCCTGACCTCTCCTGGCTGAAGGGCTCGACACACAGGAGGCGACGTCGTTCTCTCTCCATTCATTTCCTATGGAATTTGTGTGATGAGGCGACAATGGCTCGCCCTCCTCCAGCCAAGAGACTGGCAAAAATCGTGCACGTGAGATTTTGCGCTCGTACGTCTACGTGTACGAGCGTAAAATTTCACTCGCGAGCTTGCGACGCAACATATGAAAGTTGAAAAATGTTCAACTTTTGTCGCTGTCGCTTGGCGTACAACCAATCAGTGAGGGTTTCATTGACTGACCAATGAGCAGAGAGTATGCTACACACTTTCAATGTTATTTTAGCTCTGTCAAACTTTCCAGTTTTATATGACCCTTCACCAAGTGATTACTAGAAAAGGCAGCTTTATGGGAATTTGTTGGTGTCACTGTGAAATTATTCGGTAAGTTTTTCCTCATAAAACTGTATCTTGGCATGCAATTTGTTTTTCAATATGATTAGCGTTGCATGATTTGTTTAGTTTACACGTTCATAATGCACACCCACTTTTTTTGTGAACCACCAATAACCTTTACAAGAAGCAGTAGAAAAACCAATTAAATTTCATGAAGACAAGCGACCCGAGAGCGCGATCCGAGAGCGCGATCCACAACGCTGCCGTCACCATCGTGTCCTGTGTGTCGGGTTTCACCCTGGTTGTGATGACAGCCGTTAATCGCTGTCGTTTGTCGCTCCCCGTGTGTCGAGCCCTTCAAAAGCACCTRCAGCAGCAGTACGTCAAAATATTATCAGCTTGTACGCCACCAACGACTTACCTACAGAGTCTCCGGTCTCCTCTACCTGAAACCATTCACCTCTCCTCCATGCTCCAACCCTTATCTGTAGTCGGGTCATTGAGGTAACAGCTCCAGGAGACCTCCCCTCTCTACAGCTACTCTCTCTTTTCAGCTCCTTCAATGCGTTCCCAGACCAGAGAGACGTCGGCCGCTTACATCGCTGCCCCGTGCCTCAGGCTGTTATTAGTTATTTGTAACTTTTTTCTATTAAAACTGGATTTTGTGAAGTTACACCTTGAAAAACCAACTGAAGCGATGTGATAAAATGTGTGGTCTTGCAAACATACGTCTACTGTAGACTGGACCGTCTCATTTCAAAGCCGTTTATGCAGACGACACCAGTGGCCTACAGCCCACAGACTGTGGATAACGTTAGCCGCAACCCATGAATCGAGACGCAGCCTATATAATCCTTACAGCAAGCTCTGGGTCTAACCCGGGGTCTCCAAAGAAAGCACAGTAGTCAGATGAACCACCTCAGCTGACTTTTTGTTGATGCAGAAGAGCAGAAACTCTACTCTGACCCCGACCCCTACAAAGGAAGCTAATTTTAGCTGTTTGTAGCCAGGATCTGGTTCATTCGGTCACGATCCAAACCTCACGACCATAGGTGAGTGTTGGGACGTAGACGGATCAGTAAGTCCAGAGCTTTGCCTTGAGACTCGACTCATTCTTCACTACAAACGACTGAAGCAACGCCTTCATAACTGAGAACAAGGTCGTCACCCTGGTTCGTCAATCCGTCCTCATCCTGCCACCACTCAGGAGCTAGATCCCCAGATACTTTATCCTCCACCTGAGCAGGACTCTTTTTGCTAATAACAATAATAAAAAGCCTTGCGTGTCGTTTGAACAGGTTGTTTGAGATTCTAAAAACCACACAGCTGCACRTTTTACCTGAGACTCGTAGGGCAAGAAGGCGATGTTGATCTCTGTCAGAGTCTTGATGACTTTGGACGCCCGACTCTTGACCAGCTCGTTGAAAAGCGGATCAGGGCAGGCTGCGCAGAATAAACAACAATTATATTCAACCTCCTTCTTTTAAAAATGAGAGAGAACCAGAAAAATGAACTCACAGTCGGTGAAGAAAACATGGGCTGCCTTGTATTTCGCCGGATGAGGGTCTTTGAAGTCTGCGATGAGCGTGTGGACGGACTGAGAAGAGAGGAAGTTTGTTAATTTTTTAACCCGTATTTTTAATTGTAAACACGTGAAGTTTAAATGCTCACCTTCTCTGTGGGTGTAATCAGGTAAATGGACTCCAGGCTGGGGAGGGGCTCTCGTCGCTTGTTGATGTCCTCCACAACTGAACAAGCGAGGACAGACAAGTTWGACCCAAACCGTTAAACAACTCCTCACAGAACAGAGAAAACTGGGACGTCTCTTACTGGTGATGCCCTCTGTCATGATGTCTGTCATCTTGCAGCAGGAGGACAACATCCTCATGCTCAGCTGGTCCACGATCAGAGCCTGGAGACGGGAAGGAGGTGATGATTTTTACAAATACTGTTACTGAACACCTGGAAGTATCAAACTCTGCTGCTCTCACCTTCCATTCTCCCTTCTTCTTCACCTTCTTGATCACATCGTTCATAATCTCTGCAAAAAAGAAGACATTTCATGAGACGCCCGAGGGTTTTACAGCCACTGAATCGGCAGAGATGCTTTAATAGATTTCATTTTTTAACCGAACACGAAGCAGAGAAAACCCAAGACCAGAACTGTCTGAGGAGCTCAGAAAGAAGAAGTCTACAAGAACCTCTCCAAACAGCTTCATGTCCCTTTGACTACAGCTGACAATCAGGCTCATGGTCCTGTTGAAACTTCCAGGATGTGGATGCAAGCTGAAATGCAACCCCAGGTTAAATAAATGAATGGTGGGGATAGTAGAAAAAGAGCCAAGGAAACCATTCAAAACCATTCAAGGTCAAGATTTACATTTTTACTCATAATGAGCTCCATGGATGAAGACCCAAGAGGGTTCCACTAAAAGCAGGAAAACACAATAAAAAACTAAACTTATGTTGACAAACTCCAAGTTTTGGGGACTAATGAGACACAACTGGCGCTTTTCGGCTACAAACATCTATCTACGCTGCTGATCCGTGGTCGGGTCTGCAGATGCTTAATGCCTGGCTACAAATTACTTCAGTGAGACCTGGAGATCACAGCATGAAGATGCCAGAAAGACCACCTCATCTACAAAAAATGACGCAATCCTGAGGCCACCGAACCAGACTTCCTCTGTCCCCCCCTGGCTAACCTGAGAAATTCTGTCTATAAAAGTTATGAACAGAAGCGATGACAGCGGGCAGCCCCTGGCAGAGTCCCAGCAATGTGAACCAAACATTCAGTTTGGGACTGAATGGCCTTTAACAATGGACCCCCAATGCCATACATAAGGACCCCCCCCCCACCACACACACACACACAGTGTCAAATACCTTCTCCAACTTTGGTTTGGTTTGGTGAGTGGGGATGGATAAACAAACCATATAAGCGGGGGCCTCGTTAGTGGGCCCATTGCTCTCACCAAAAAACCTTGTTTCCTTCATCCCTCGGATGAAAAAGAAGTCTCTAGTCCAATGCCACAGGCATCACACAGACCATTGTCATGGAGTCCCATCACCAATTTGTGGCGATTGAGCAGATTGTGCCCAGTTAGGACTCCAACCAGCATACTTAAAAGTTTTCCTTTTCAGGGAGGTGAGAGCTTTCCCAAACCTAAGATTTGGGCCGTTAATCAGTACCCATGCCCGTCTACAGTCCGTCAGCTCCCTCCAGAGGATTGAGTGTTGACGTCTAATCCAGGCCTGTAGGGCAGTCTTGTTGAGACCTACAACAGGCTCTGGTTCTTTGAAGTGAGCCTGACTGCCAGCYTTTGTGAGGTAGTTAGCTCTCTCGTTACCATAAATGCCAGTATGTCCTGGTGTACCAAWTGAACAATTAACTAAATATCATCATACTAGAGGACAACATTTAAAGCCCCAGAGAGGTCCATGCAGACGAATAAGCCTGCTCACTGATTTGCTTTCCCTGCTTGATGGGATTAAAAATCGGATCATCCATGAGGTCACCACATGACCGCCATGTTCACGTCACAGAGCTGATATTGGCCTGATCAGTGTCCCTTCTGTCTGCCAGCTGTGGTAGGGTAAACCCATTTAGGGTGAACATCGCGTTTAAGCTCCTCAACTCGGGTTCAGCCACACTGACACCAACAGATTACCACAGATTATAAAGAGCTTGTATAAAAGAGATTACACACAGAGAGATTACATCTGCCTTTAAACAAACGGTATAAATAAACAAACAGGACATTGAAGATTAGATGAAAAAAAGAAAGGAAGACACCAGCAGAAATTCAGTTTGAAACAGGACCCGGTCTGTCCCTCCTGTCGGACCAATGAACCAGATTTGATCTCCTGTCAGWCAGAAAATCTTGGAATAATTATAATTGACAGAGTCTATTTTAAATCCTACGGATGTGTTCACCGCTGTGTSAGCGAAGAAAAGGAAACCAAAACAAACAAAAACCTGAGGAGCAAGATTTAGCGTCAGGAAACTCTTGTCACTGCTTTGGATCGAAGAAATCAGTCAGAAAGATAAACTCCTGGAAACAGARCGGGGCTGAGGATATCTGTGACTGTCTTTTTTTACTTTTCTTGTTTTTATATTAAAGCTGCTTCAGTCACTCATACAGACCTTAGATGGTTCAAGATGACTTAATTTGACTTTATTCTGGATATAAATTAAACCAAATAAAAAGGGTTGAATATTATCTAAACTGTTAATTGAGCTCTACTACAACAAATAATCTTCCTAATCTACCTTTAAAATAAAGTTACATAATCAGAAATAATTTCTCACTGCTGGGAAATCCCTTCGTATCATATTCTGCATCTTTATGAAGCTTGGAGGATTTCTCTTTTTCAAATATGAGCCTGTTTTCTCAACGACATAATCCTAGACCAATAAAAATTATGATTTTAAACCGGTAAACAAAACTACATTTCAACAAACCATGGTTCATTTATGTCTTTGAGAAGTAAAATCAGGGTTTTTCCACCATAAAATCCTACAAACGGCAGAGCAGCGGCTGCAGACCGTCGACACGGATGAATGAAAACATGAAACCGAATCATGAGGGGAAACCGCTCCGTGGGTTTTTCCTCTCTGGCCTCAACGATGGAGGCGAAACAATACAGGAACACAGCTTTCAGAGAAGGGAAGGGACCTGAACAAACACAACAGCTGTGTAAATCCAACAGGTGCAAACACAAAAACACACACAGTTCAACAGGATACAGAAGGCAGAGCGAGGAGAAAAYGGGGGAAAGTTGGGAATAAAGCCACTCAGTGACTGGTTCTGTTAACTAATCATTAAACTCATCAATACTCTATGTGGAAGCGGGATAGGAGTCCGACTTTCCAGTGTTTTGTGGACCCGAAGAAGAGTTGGGACTGTTTTCCTCCTGTGGGAGGCCGCCATGGTGACTTTTAAGGTCTATCAGGCTCTGGTAGAACCAAAGCAGGAGCTGCGTCTACATTTGAGGAGAGTGTTTGGTTTGTGAACCACAGGGTCTCGTTTCTGCTGCAGATGATGTGATTCTGTTCGCCTCTTTGAGATAGTCGGATCCTTTAAGTCTGAGGCCATGGTTCGTAACGAGAAATGTACCGAGTAGCAGGCATTTCGTGTAGACGCCCTGTCCAGTTTTTTTGATACCCTCTTTGGTTTGGCGACGCCCTCAGGGCACCGTGTCGATCTTCAGGTTTGACTAAAGTTGACAGACATTTCCATCTGTAAATTTTGTTTTCTTCCTTCCATAAACTTCGTAACCGCCAGCAAGGTTGACCCCGATTATTTGATTTCATAAACTTCTGTAAGCTTCAAAAGCATCGAGGGGCCTAAAGTATGGACGCCTTGTTACAAAACCCTACCTAAAGCATGTCCTCGAGGCCATCTGTGGGGGGTACCAAAGGCTATCAGGTCTCAAAAGAAGCAAAGCAGGAGCTGTGTCCACATTATTGGCAAACAGTTGCGTTCGTTCTCAGTGCAGGTTGAACTCAGCAAGGGTGGTCTCTTGTTTCCAGTCTTGTTTGAGGTGTTCAGGGTCTCAAGGCTCAAATGTAGAGGACACAGTTGGGTTTGGGAATCTCTGGGTTTTGTTTCGGCTTTATGCAGATGATGCGGTTCTGTTTAAGCCAGAATCTTCACTGGGGCAGTTCGCAGCAGATTGTGAGGTAACTGGGATGATTGTCAGCTCTTCTCAGTCTGAAGCCCAGATTCTTAACCGGAAATGTACCTGGGAGGAATTCTTGCTTCAAGTGGAGGAGTTCAAATATTTGGGTATCTTGTTTCTGAGTGATCGTAGGATGGAGCGGGAGCAGGAGAGGGATCAGGACGCCGTCCTCAGTGATGAGGGTGTCGCTTCATTCGGTCTGTCGTGACGAAGTTGAGTTGAAAGGCAAAGCTCTCCATTTACTGGCCCGTCTTACTGTCACCTGGGGTCAGGAAGTTTGGATCATGTCAGAAAACAAAACAAAACCAGGATACACCATTGAAATGATCTTCCTTCGTAGAGTGGCGGTGCTCGGGATTGGAAGTGCTGCTTCTTTGCATCAAAACAAGTCCATTGAGATGGTTCATCTGATTTGGACGCTCCCGTTGGCAGATCTTTGGGACATGTCTCTTTGGAAAGAGGTCTCAAGACAGACCCAGGATTATAAATCCCCTCTGGTCTAGGAACGCTGTGAGATCCCCCCAGGAGCAGTTGAAGATTGCCGCTGGAACGAGGGAGGTTGAGACTTGTTGCCTCTGCGACCACATGAATATGCACAGGAACACTGACCTCACTTTGTTCCTTCACCTACATGTCAACATTTAGCAACATCTAGAAGTAGCCACACACACCTGTACAGGTACACAGCAGCCACAAGCTGAAGGCTCCCCCATGGTACCACGTTCTCCCCCACAAGACCCACTTATTTTCCCTCTGGATCTAAGCTTCAAGGCTGCATCATCTCTCCCAGGAGAGTCTGATACTCAGGGTTTTAAAGACACAGTTAATCAGCAACACTTGCAAAGAACGGCTCGATACGACGTTCTACCACAAGCCAAAGAAATCCTCCAGTGATAAAAAAAAAAAAGACCTGGAGCTTCAATGAATTATGTTAAAGAGGAGAAAACTGGTGAATTCATTACCAAATGCAACATAAGGACAACTGACTTATCAATAAAGACACAAACGTCTTGTATTATGCAACTTTTCTGTATGTGTGGGAAACACGTGACGCTCAGGAGAGTGGGAGGAAGAGGATTTCTGCCAGTTCTGACACAGCACTCTGCCTCCATGTAAGAATATCTATCTATCTATCTATCTATCTATCTATCTATCTATCTATCTATCTATCTATCTATCTATCTATCTATCTATCTATCTATCTATCTATCTA